TCGCTCTTTGTCTTTCACTCTCCACCACTGACACACCACTGACACAGCACTGACACCATTCACCTGGTTTCCTGTTCAGTTTGAATGAAATCTTTGAGTATTATTTGGGGAGGGGGGGGGAGAGAAGAGGAGAGGAGAGAAGGAGAGAGGAGGCGAGACAAGAGGAGAGCCTTGAATCCCTAAATCCTCCACTTTAGATAACCTCAGGCTAATAGTGTTTTCACATGTGAGAGAGAAATGAGGACAAATGTCAGGGTGGATCATAAATTCTCCTCCTCACCGCGGCCCGTTCCAGGCCAGAGTGTGAAATTACACACTTCAGACGCAGAGGACAAGGAGGTGGAGAAGGAGGAGGACACCAGGGAGGAGAGGGGTTTCTGATGGTCACTGGATTCTCTCTCTCTTCTGGTCAGGACGTTTGAAGGATTCTCAGGAGACGGAGGTCGACCGTCGACACGGACGTCGGTCTTTTCTGCAGTACCAGCTTCATCCTCTGAATACAAAGTCTTCTCACCGTGACAGGTTAAAGCTGCAGCTCTTTATCGGCTCCAGCCCAGGATTGTTGCAGGTCCAGATGCAGGCCCACGACTCCTTCGTGAAACGTCCTCTCTGCTCATCAGCCTGTCACTGTCACCTTCTCTCAGTTGATGTATGAGCCGCTCCTGGACGTTAGGATGTGATTCCAATGCCATTCCCACCCGTCAGAGCGACAGATCCGTGGTTGACTGACAGCCTGTCAGGTGGGAGTGATGGAGCAGCTAATAGTGTGTCAGTAAACGTAAATCAAGAGCGATGCCCGGGGGACGCTGCGGATCAGCAGACTGGCAGCACCGGCACGACCACAGGGTCAGTGACCTCGGGGCAGAGTGGGGATTGGTGCAGGGTAATATGGATTCTTCTGGGGCTCCCCCTGGTGACTGCCAAGGTCAGGCGCTGAAGAGCTAATGTTATTTACCCTGACAGGTTTGTTGGGTAAACAAACTGTTAAAGGTGACAAGATGGAACCAAATAAACCCGTAACTGTCAGTGGCTGGTTTTTAGAACTGATCCTTTAACAGACATCACTGACACGGTGTTAGCGGTTCTGTAGCGTAGCAGTTAGCATGCATGTCTTGAAAGCAGAGTCCGTCTTTACAGCTGGAATGGAAAAAAACCCAGAATAATCAGCTTTAGAACACAAATACATCCATTTTTTAATTTGAGAAAATACAAAAAGAAACCATGTACAATCTATGTACAAACCTTTTGTACAAGACAGCAGATTTATCAGCAGATTATATTTGACAGAGTCAGGTAGGTCAACTCAGCACCATCAAATTATCCAGTTTTTTTTAGTATAATCCTCCTC